TGTTCCCTTCTGGCAATAGGGTGTGTATAGTTAGATATCAATTCTTGATGGTTGACATGTCCAAGATAAAAAGGAACAAAACAAAGCAGAATGAGACAAATTGTATAACATGTATTATACAAAATTCTATTGGATAAACCAGTCAACACAAGAACTTCTAAGCAGATTTGCACAAATTTCACACAAGTATTCCTCAAAGACAGAATTCTGGAAAACAGTTCATGAAATTGGGACTTAGCAGTGCATTGCCACTTCTGCATTTGCATTCATAAAAATTAATAACTCATAAATATCACCACAACAGAGACACTTCAAACACGACAATTATTGAACATTTTTGAGCCTAAATTAGATTTTTTGTGAATTTACATTTTACAATGAAAAAATAGATTGTGACATAACTTTATACTATGCCATTACAAAATACACCTGTGATTCCTTGACCCGAATACCAAGTTTCAAATATACATGTATGCTTATTAACAGTAAAAGAAACACAGGCCTAATGAAATCATTCATCAGCAACCTAATACAAATATACAGTACTTTGTCCTTCTACATCTTATGTAATAAGATTCCCTCCATCATATTTATTAATACTAAGGTGAAGTCCATTGTAAGACTGCACAGTTTCAAATATACATGTATGCTTATTAACAGTAAAAGAAACACAGGCCTAATGAAATCATGAAACCTAATACAAATATACAGTACTTTGTCCTTCTACATCTTATGTAATAAGATTCCCTCCATCATATTTATTAATACTAAGGTGAAGTCCATTGTAAGACTGCACAGTTTCAAATTACTACAGAATATTTGTAAAGAGAGAAGCAACTTCCAAAGAATACAAAAAATATTTTAGTACTATGTTATTATATACATATATTGTAAAGTGAAAATCAACATTAGGCAGCAAAACCTGCTCCTTGACTCACTGAAAACTGCAATGTCAGCATTATTCAGCTCATTTAGGTTGATAATAGTCAATCATTCAAAAGTTTTATCTGACTTTAGGTGTGGATAATATATATATATATATGTATGTATATATATATACACACACAAACATCTTTTTATTCTGAAAATTCAGTAAATTGAAACAATTTCTTTTGGAATTACACAGTACATTTAAATACTACACCAATATTTATGTTTTTACTAATAACGGAAATTGTAACTTGACAAAATTACATATGAACAGTACTCTTTTTGAACTACCAAACAATAAGGCCTGGCATGGCCAGGTGGTTAGGGCACTCGACTCGCAATCTGAGGGTCGCGGGTTCGAATCCCCGTCCCACCAAACATGCTCACCCTTTCAGCCGTGGGGGCGTTATAATGTGACGGTCAATCCTACTATTCATTGGTAAAAGAGTAGCCCAAGAGATGGCGGTGGGTGGTGATGACTAGCTGCCTTCCCTCTAGTTTTACACTGCTAAATCAGGGACGGCTAGTGCAGATAGCCCTCGTGTAGCTTTGCACGAAATTCAAAACAAACAAACAAACCAAACAATAAAGTGTTCTGTTCAAGAGTTTTAATGAATGTACTGATGCCCTTCTTCTGCATTTCCGTAGTATTCTAGGGTTCTAGTTATAAGACACAACATTAGACAACACAGTTTCCAGGAAATTTTGTTACACATTCTCCATTTATAAATGTTACACAATATATTAACAACAGTAAAGCTGCTTAAACCTTAAACAGTAGATCCTTTTAGGGTCATACATAATTTGTTCCTTACCTTGAAAATGACATGCCAAACATGTTTAGAAGCTTTTGAGGTGTGGATGACTGTTTTTCATTGTGGAAGCTTTCTGAAAATTCGTGTAATCGATGAGAGAGAAAAATTGCATTTTCTCGTTTTTTCATTATAAATTCACTTGGAAGTAGCCATTTATTTTCCAGACACTCTTGAACTGTTGCCCGCTTCCTGCACAAATTATCATATTAAGCTATACATAACTTTCTGAAATATATATAATACCATAAATATTGCACTATTCAAAAAGTCAATCATATGAAAGGCCTGTGTAATATACTCTCTCAAAAACAGTGTGTACATACTAGCATGGAATATACAATACAGAATAATTATTTACATTACAATAGGTAATTATCAGTGAATATGATAAACTTACTTAGGTGTGCGTTTGAAGAGATACATAAGAAAACGAGTAACTTCCTGGGTCACTTCAGCATGGAGATTCTCAAATTGGTATCTGATAAATTCGATGTTATCTTCTGTCTGCTCATCTGTTTCACCCCGGAATGGTGAAACACCGCTTAATCTGAAAGTAAAATGGCTTAAATTAAATTATCTTGCAGTCAACAATACAATTCTACTGTGGTATATTCAGTTAAAAAATTACTCAACTTGAAAGCAATGGAATAGGTCTGCTTAATAGGAAGTTCAACAAGATATCTATTATGAAGTAACTCTGAGTTTAAGAAAGAACAAGACTGGACACAAATGTATAAAAATACAATGAAACAATCTATATTTATGATCAGACACAATTAAAATATTGTGCACAGAATGAAAAGACAGGACCTTCACTATACAGTTAACTATTATAATCTCCTAATTAGTTATGAAGATGTTTAAACCTATGTGCATAGGATTGTTCCATTGGACAAAGCATGTATTAGAGAGTCAATGTTTACTATAATTCTGAATGTACTTAGTGTTTTTTCATGAAATAAGCTTTTTATAAACATTACGAGTAAGTTGTACACTTTGCAAAACTTTTAATAAAGTATTTCTACAAAAGATTTGTCTGTGAATTTACAGAGCCATTCTGAGCCATACTTTGAATGCAAGATTATTTTCATGTTAAGAATAAAAATACTATTTCATCTTACAATTTTCATATTTCATTTACATAACTTCTAGTGCTTCCTAAATGAATATCAAAAGTCCTTGTTTTTTAGTGAAACTTTGTTTTATCCGTTATTTTCTCTAGCCTAACACTATCTGAATACGGGCTTGGTCAATTTGATCAACCATGTAACCACCACTGAAAAAATATGAAATAAATCTAGATTACCCCTTTTTTTCTAAAATAACTGCTTATTGTAACAGACAATTACAATTATCTATTTTAACATCTTCTGTCTTCTAACATTTTTACACCTGCCTTTGTTTGTTAGTTTATAGTTTTATTGCTTTCTGAAACAAATCTAATTATTAAAGTAGTGTAACAAAGCAATAAATCACCTGGTAAGAACATAGTATAAGTTACAGAAAACAAATCACGCACAGGCAACTCACATGGAGGAATTTTTCATTGAAATTTTCTTATATACCTAAAATGTATTTTTTTATGTTTTATAGTTAGTTACTTTTATAACAATGAATAAAAATATACATAAAAAACAAAAAACATTTTTGCTCTTGAAATCTCAATAAATGTTAACCAAACTTTTTGGTAGAGTTTTTGTTAGCACTTACTTTTTATGTATTTCAAATATACAATTTAGAACAAATAATAATAACACACACAAAGAATAAAATGTCTTATAACTATTATAATTTAATTGGTTTTCTAATTACACTATAAGATGATTTAAATAATTCTGTTGAAGTGACCTGGCAATAGCAAAGAATGAAACTGTATGCAGAATAATTCATAAACTTTGTGAGAATGAGCTAGCCTTATAAGAAATTCAATAAATTGAAATGTTCTCTTTCTGTTGGTTATAAATAACCCAACAGCAAATATCAAAGTGAATTATTGACATTTTTTGAGAGACAGGATATGGTAGGTTTGACTTTCTGATTTATATCTCACTAAATCAAGAAGATTGGAAGCTTTGGTTATGTCTTAGCAATAGCTATACTACAAGTGTGTAATTTGTGTTAAACTCAGGAGCTCATATAGCGGTAGAAAGAACATCTAAAATGAACAATTTGTAGCAAAGAAGTGTCCTGTGATACAGAGAAACAACGATAGAGAATTTGATTTAAATATTTCCTTCTTTTTAAAGTTAAGAAATCAAAGCTTGAATTATATAAAAATTTGAATTATAAATTATGTTTTGTTGACATTAAATTAATAATAGTTTGATTGAATTTTGAATGTAACTCTGTAAAAGGTCATTTTGACCCCCATCCTTATACATATGATGTTATAATGTTACAGGTTAAACTTTAAGAGAGTATTACTATTTACACAGAAAAGACTTAAGCTTCACGTACCAAACTGATACCTTGAGAGAGTTAAGTTAGAGATTATAATATCATACACAAAATTCTATAAAAATATATTCTTAGGATATATGTACCACTTATGTTAATGTCAATACCACTGAAACATATGGGCATCACCTGAACTATCCTTGAATGTCACTGCTACTGACATCCTTGCACAACATGCAGTATTGCAAAACATAATTTCATCAGAACAGTTATTATCTACTTGAGAATAACAAAGGTAGCTACATCAAAATCAACTTAATGGCCTTTCAACAGAACTAATGCTATACTAGTACCAGAAGATGGAACCATATGGTATATCCATCTACAAAATCACCTCCAACTATCACACATATTTCAAATATGTATAACAAATGCTATACTAGGACCAGAAGATGGCACCATATGGTATATCCATCTACAAAATCACCTCCAACTATCACACACATTTAACAAATACTATGTTTGAAAGGTCCTTATATGTTCTTTGCATGTCTCCTAATGAAAAATATTCATTCTGCATCATCAAGCTGAATGATCTGATAGGTTAATTGTTTAGCATGTTTATGCATATAATTGTATTTTTTATGCCAGCATCTTGTAACTGTTAATATAATGAGCTATGTAGTGGATGTCTACATATCTTACAAATAGGTTTAATTATTCAGTTGTCAAATGTATTTCTGATAGATACTTACCTCCTCTCACAAAAAGCCTTCTTGACTTATACTGTGCCTTTATTTTCCCAAACATCCCCACCAATGTTAACGTGAGATATGTGCATACTAACATGCAGCAACCCTACACCAATAGGAGTGTGACACCACCTCTATCACAACTAGTGTCCTCTTTAGTCTTGCAGCGTATAACCACTTCAAGATTGGTCAATCACACAAATCATACCAGAAGTGGGGAGGACAGGTGGGAAATGTGATAAGTATCTATCGGATATACATTTTCAGTTTAGGAAAATGTTAACTTCCAATACGATATATCTCCTCTCACAAAAAGCTAGAATCCAACATTGAACAGGTGGAGAGCCGGTGAGAAGATGATTTCCTTTAGGAAGTGCCCAAGGGAAAACCATGGGGTGTGAGAAGAAATTAAAAACAGCATACCCGATGGGAGACCACGCTACTTCTAAGCCAGGTGTACCCATCACCTTTTTAGTAATGTGTCATCAAAAAGGGCGGAAACAAAGGACAGATCCCAAGAAAAAAAATTTACAGAAATAATGGGATTCCCTGGTGTAGAGTGGCTAGGGGGCAACATACCATAAATGGGAGTTCAAACTCAATCAACACCTGGCAGCAGCTGGAATTGTACATCAGGTCCAAAAGGAAGAGGGTCCTCTACCTTTCACCCCAAAAACGGGTACTGGCAAGGAAGAGGAATTTCCACACCAAGACTCCACCTCCGCATATGCACACCTCCAACTCAATCAACACCAGATGGCGGGAAGGCAGAGTGCCCAGGAGTTTGTTCAACCCCCATCCAAAACTAGGTGGCATTGGAAATGTTTCATCCAGTCTGCTGTAGCAGGAGGGTACCCTGCCTTACTCATACAGGAAGTCTTGTGTCTTGTCCATTTACAACCAACACCAGATCCACCAGGAACTGACGTCCAGTAGATGGTAGGAAGAGGAATGACTATATGTGGGGTCCATCTCCAGTCCAAAACCTGGTGGCACTGGGAAATTATTGTCTAGTCTGTGGTAGGATGAGGATAACGATCCAAACATGTGTGAGGACTTATGTGGCTGGTCAGGCTCCAACCAACACCCGATCTATAGGAACCAACATCTGGTGAATGGTAGGAAGGAGGGTCAAAATGCAATATATGGTGGAGTGCTACATCCAACACCTAGCAGCATCTGGAATTGTACATCAGGTCTTTGGTAGGTAGAGCATCACACTATCTACACTGACAGAATGCCACCACCCTACTCTCAACTGAGTGGTATTGTGCACACTCAGGAGGACAGGCCTCCTTGGTCCACCACTTCAGTGGCTAGGAACTGGTAAGTGGCAAGGACTCTCATACTCCAATAGAAGAAGGAGAGAAACAGTGTGTTGGAGAGTCAAGAGGACTGCTACACTGGAGACAGTGCAATGGGTGACTGTGATACCTTATTTTAAAAAGCAGAGTGGTCTTATTGATGGAGTCAATCAACTAACAGATGGTGGCAGCTGGAATTGTACATCATGTCCAAGGTAAGAAGAGCCTCAAATGTCCCGGATCATTTGAGATTGGCAGTAATCCCTGTCTGTTTTACTCATGTTAGTCCATGAGTTTATGGTCTGGGACAAACATAGTTATGAAGCAAAAGACTGCAAGGTATACCTATGGGTGGTCCTGTGGAACACACCATCTCAACAGTGTGCATAACATGACATATTACAATAGTGTATTGTGATGTGTAGAGGACACATTGACAGAGTCGATCACCCAACACCCGCCAGTACCTGGAATTGCACATCAGGTCCACGGTAGGGGGAGCCTCAATGACTCAGTCATCCAGCATGGTATATGGCCACAGGTATTACAGTGCTGATTTAAAACTAATTATACCTGGTCAGTCACCACATAACAGGATCCAAACATGTGAGAAAGGTTCCTGCAAAGAAAAATAATGGAGTACTTACCACTCACAGAAAATATAGGAGTGCAAAATGGTGACAGGAGGTAAGCGAAAATTCAAAAAGCAGGAAATGGCCACATGATGGAGATAGTGAAAGGTAAAGGTATGTAGAGTGGTCTACATACCAGCACTGATGACGTTCTCCAATGGAAGACAGAAATGTGCAGCTAGGAATATGGTCAGGTGACAGATATGATGGGAAGAAACATGAAAAAAGTGACGATTATCCAGAGAAATGGAAGAATACGCCAGGTGAATTAACCCTTTCGTGATGGGCTTGGCATGAAATACACGAGTTTGTATACTTATTTGCACACATATTTATACTATAACTTTTAGTGCAGACTTTTAGTAATGATTACAAGTCTCTTGTACACAAAAAATAAGATTTTTTATATGAAGTATTTTTTACTAGAGATTTGTTTGTGAAAATATCGAGTCTGTTTCATAA